ACCTTATCACTACCACCAAACAAAATACTGTTTACAAGAACACTAATGGAGGTTGTTATTGACGTCAAAAGGCATCTTTTATTTCGGAACACGTTTCATAATCAGTTCTTCATGAATTTACGAAAAGACACTTTGAACATTTTGCACAACAAGAAAATATAATCGATTGTTTGCCTTTTCGTGCAAGCACGATCACTATAGATTGGCTAAGGCTCGACGGGCCTGTCAATCCAAAAAGTGCATCGAAATGCAGAGAGAAACACAAAAGTAGATTATCTAAGTTTTAATGTGTCTTTAAACTTATCTATGAAGTTTTTTTCTGAGACCTCAGCTGGTAACAACAATTTGAAAATATATTGCCTATCAGAAATTGTCATTTTGAATGTTTTAGAAGGCGCCCCCGCCTGGATTGGCAAATGCAGTGCTCTGGCGACCGAATTTGTAAGTTCCTTCACTGCGAGTTTCATGCCGTAAAAAGGTTTATTTCGTGTAATTCGTTGTCGAACTATCCCTATTCGTATCATTTTCTCAAAAAAACAATATATTTAGAAAAATAACCGGAAGCTCATAATAAAATAAATATTCCTTCCGAGTAAATTCTCCAAAATAAAAATAAACAAATATGCATATCGCCTTTCCCTTTTTCGACCTCCTGCTCTTCACGATATGAAGATATGAAATCGAACCACGTGACATGAAAACAGTAACCATCAGCTGTCTCCTTTCTGGTACGTGACGTCATTGGTAGCTGGTACACCCCTGCAGAGGTGACGACTACTAATTACTCCTAGTGACTTTGCTCCTTTTGACTCCGAGTAGACCTTTTCTAAGCACTCCAATCACAGTTAATCTTAGTAGAACATCTTCTAATAAAGTTCGTGTTGACCACTAATACTTCTAGTCCTAGCCTCTATAATCCTAACTTCTCCTTTTTACTCCTAGTACCTATTCTGAGCTCATAACAACTTATGCCATTCCTATAACCTTAACTCCTACGTCCTTCTCCAGCTCGATATCTTACTGGTTTGTCGACACTGAGTATTCGTTTCTTGTTTGAGTGGTTTTATGTCCGCTTCACTACCGAGTTGTTCGGCTATCCAGCAGACGCCATTGATGATGCATGGCAGACATATGAAAGAATTTTCTTTGGTGTGATAAATAAACTTATGACATTGTAAGTGAAATGCACAATGATAAGGCATGAACTTATGTTAGATTGTCCAACCAGCTCCAAGGAAATGTGGACAAAATTCAGAAAGTATTTTATACCGTATTCTAAAGTCATCCCCAACACATGTATTAAATGTAAATGGAGATAGTGTTTTAGATAAATCTGAAATTGCTAACCATTTTAACAAATAGTTTTGTAACATTGGATCCCACTTTGGTAGTAAGTTTAATGACAGCTTACCTGACATCGAGATGTTCTCAACTGAAAGTACTTTTGATATTCCAAAGTTCCAACCATTACTCCTAACTTTATTCAGAAGCAAATAGGCACATTCTTACGGTAAAGGAACAGGAGGTGGTGACATCTCAGTAAAACTATTAAACTTCCTGCTGAGGCCATTAACAGCCCATTAACTTACTTATTGAATTTATCAAAAAATACTGGTAGTTTTCCAACTGAACAGAAACAAACAAAGGTCAAACCTGCATTTAAAACGGGTGATCGTTGCCTTTTTAACAATTATAGACCTATTTCTGTTTTGAATGTATCCATATGATGCCTTTATTCTGCTGGGGTTTTTCTTCCATGTGTGTTATCTTTAAACCTATGTAAGATCTTGTTAACAGTTTACTCCATGAACGAAAACAGATAAAACGTTCATATTTCAGTAGTTAATAGAGGACATCGATCTCTTAAAACAATCATGATCATAATGTCAAAGGTCAAGGTCACAGATCTATAAATAGAGTACTTTTCAACGCTTTTCGAACGACCATAACTTCATAAGCGTTTGTTGTACTGCATAAACGCCTAATACTTATTGTAGATCTTAGTCGGGCTAACTGTTCCCATGACATGTTATCAGAGAATATGTTAAGTTCAATGCCTCGCTATGGGGTCAAATATAAATCAAAAATGAAATCTCAGAATTAGTTAATTTGAAATGTACATTTTCCCGCCAAAATTAAAAATTAAAAAAATGCACTTAAAACTCTTCTCTTCCTTATCAAGATACAAACAGAGTATCTATAGCAAGTATCCTTTGCTATAAAAACAACGCAAATCGTTGACCTTGACCTACTTTCAAGGGGGTCAAATGATCAAAACATGAAAATTTCAAAATTCTTTCAAAAAAGTTTATTACACTTTTAAGAAAACATCCTTATTAGGATATTTGTAAAGTTTCCAGGTCAGAGAATCATGGTGCATGAAAGGACAGATGAGTATTGAGATAGAATGGTAAACACACTTTCCACAAACTGTACAAAGGGGAATAACTCTAACAGAAAACTCAACCTTTGTAACCAGTTACAGTAGTATACGTTGCTGGGTCTAAAAGCTGTCAACCACCATTACCTGTGGAACCATCACCATGTGTACTTGTGTTTGGTGTGGCTGTGTCCAAATAACAGAGCTGTCATTCACCACTACTTCAAGTACATAACACCCCACTGAGGGGGAAGGGAAGATAGAAACACTAAACAGCTATCAATGCAGTTGCTAACCATTCAGAAATAACTTGACCCTGTGGTATGAATAAGGTACAAGGTTGGTCAAAAAGGGGAAGCGAAGGTAAACGTATAAAAGCGGCCGTCAGTCCGAGAACATATTTTAGATAATTTTCTGTATGGAAATCCCGTGATTTGATCTTGATCAAATCTAGTATCATAATTGTGACTATGTTATATTTCATGTCTTTTGTACAAAGTACATAATGTTCTTGAAGTGCATGCTGACGGCAAAATTGCCATAGTCGTTTTTACGATCTTTTTATAGTGACGTCAGAATAAAACGCCGTCACTGTGGGATTAATAGAATTCTACATGTGTGTTATTTTTCCTTATTCCTTTAGTATAAGCACGGACTTAGATAATCTAATCTAATCTAATTCCGTGTCATAATATAGAACTGCCCAGGGTGAGAAAGGGTGTAGGAGGAAAATACACTTTCATTCCACCCTCGGGATTTTCAATTTTCAAATAAGTGAAAAATCATTTATACAGCCTCAGGTTTTACACTATTTGAAAACCCTTACGTGGAATGCCCCTATCTAATACCGTAAGAAAGAGTCTAATAATCGTTCATACGCGGATGAAGGAGCAAAACGTGATCTAATGGGAAATCAAATCGACACGTATATAAAAGAACGCTTTAATTGTTTTGTTTGAAATAAGTACATTTTCACCTCAGAGTGTTAACGTTACTTTTCCTTTAGGTCAATCACATAAACTGAGGTTGAAATTTGCACAGAATCTGTCTATATTGTCCTCATGACAAAAATACAGTTGGTCCCGATTTCATGAACGTCGACATTTAAAACCGAATTCCTTAAACGCCTAGCGGAGGTTTAGAAAAAATATAATGACCTCTGTTATAAAATTATACGATAGATTTAATGCTATGTAAGTCCGTGGCAACTCATTATTGATTTCGAGATGCAGCAGTTTACCATTGGTTCGTTGGTTCTATGTAGTTGACACCGTTGTAAGCGTCGAGTCGCTACTGATTTTGGATGCAATCCACTCCACTTCCGAATGCGTTTGGAGACATTTTGAGTAGACATTTATTACTCAATACTAGTGAAATTATGTATAAACAGTACAATAGGTGGTAAAAAGTTGCTTATTTATCTAATTTAAAATAGGGGTATTCAGTTATAAAAAGGTATCACAGGCCTGTATAAATCACAAGTATCAGAAAAATCTAGAACTGTAAGCCAAAGGCACCGTTCAAGCCTTTCATCCATGATCCAACGCCTAGGCTGGATTGTGTATCATAAACATTGCATAATCTTCGATAAGACGAATGAGGGAATTATGTGGAAGAAGAAGAAGAAGAAGAAGAAGAAGAAGAAGAAGAAGAAGAAGAAGAAGAAGAAGAAGAAGAAGAAGAAGAAGAAGAAAAGAGGAGAAGAAGAAGAAGAACGAAAACTTGGATGCGCAACATCAGGGACAGTTGCCATATATGTAAACTTTCTTTGAAATTGGCCCAGTTGATTAGGAGAAGTTGTCAGGACAAGGATTTTTCAACAAAGGGCCATAACTCCATAACGAAGGGTTGGAAAAATATTTGGACGCGCACCATCAAGGGATAGTTGTCATACAAGAAAACTTATGTTGAATGGCCCCATAGTTTTGGAGTTGTCTGGACAAATGTTTTTTATAAATGGCCATTTGCTCCGTAAAAACGGATAGGATTGGAAAAAAATACCTGGATGCACAATATCAGGTGGTAATTATCATATTTGAAACCTTTCGTTGAAATTGGCCTCGTAGTTTTGAAGGAGTTGTCCGGGAAAGCATATTTTCAAGAAAATGTCATAACTTAAATTTGTAAAACAAAAAAGGTTAGAATGAAAAATGATAACCAGATGCACAACTTCAGGTGGTAGTTATCATACCTGGAAACTTTTGTTGAAATCGATCTTTAATTTAAGGAGTTGTCCGGACAACAAGTTTCAGGATTTTGCTTTTGGTGGTAGTTATCATATCTGAAAAGTTTCATTGAAATTTGTCCATTACTTTAGAAGAAGTTTTCAGGACAAACTTTTTCTATGGACGGACGGACGGACGCAACGTTATGGCATACGCTCACATGCCCTTCTGACAGGTGAGCTAAAAATCGGTGTTTCCAGGATTTCTCCCATAGATGTATTTTAAAGACTCCTTTATTTGGTCCTCAGTTTTCCTTCATGTGTGTGCTAATTATTGAATTTTAATACTATGTAAGATTTGTTTGATGAATAGGTGGGCGTTGTATAGCTGAAGTTATCTAAACGTTTATTGGATAAATTGGACCAATCGGAACAGTTTTTGTATCCCTCATTTAGGAAATAGTCCAAGATGGCGTCGATTGCTACGAGGCCTCTGAGAGAATATTTTATTTTCCCGAATCCTTCCAACATGAAGTATTTACCGAGCCAACGACTTCTCTGAAGATATATTTGTAGTTCATTGTGACAAAGGTTAATATTCTTTATAGCTTATCCTTATAGTTACTGTAGGGCCGATCTGTATGTGTGTGTTGCTTTGTTCGGTGTCAGCAAAACCCCAAATGACGAATGACAGTTATTTTAGGAATGTCCGGATGTAAAACGATTCCTACTGTCAATTAATAACTTTTATGTGAAATTTGTTTTTTTCCTTGTATGAGAATGCCATAATGTTATGCTTGCGGCACAAATGTCATGAGTTGTATATGTATCGTGGCGTTCAGGGCTGGTCGGTCGATAGTGTGGTGCTCGTCAACTCGTCCACAAACTGCAAGTATATTATTTCGGGTTAAATTTTCTCCGTTAAGCAGAGTATTTGATATTTCACACATATGCACATTGCACTGGATCGGTTTATATGATCTAGGCCTATTTCCTGATACTTATTATATTCAGTTTTTACTTCGATGATGATTTATACTTACTGATAGAAATAAGAATAGATCATAGTTGATTACATTGTACTTGTCCAATCTGCCCAGTGACTATTATGTTACAGTAACACAGATGCCTAGGGATCATATGTTTGGAATTGTTGGAGATCTTAGCTCCTGTCTATCACAGCTCTACAAGGCCGATTGTTACCTGTAGTCCCTTGCACAGGAACATGAGAATTTGTTACAGCTAAATTTGGACCTAAACTAAGGTGTTCAGAGTAATTTTACATGTTTTAGGGGTTTAGATAGACTTTTGGTAAAAATGACAAACCAAATGATAATATATACGAGAAGGGTGGAAAATTCTCGATGTCGAAAAGTCGACCCCATAACTTTTTGCATCCAAAACAACATTTCTAGTTGATGTATTGGAAATGCTTAGTAGTACCGTTTGAAATATGGATATTTTTTCTCTCTAAAAAGCCTACTATATGCACGTAAAATGTATTCTCATTCCACGGACATAATCTCCTTTTCCTCCAAAAACAGGCGCCAGTTTAGAGTTTCAAAATTGTTCGCAGTCATCGAGCCACTTTTTATATATTAACGAGGTTGACGTCAGCCTTGTGCCGAAACATGCAGTTTTGGTTTGCTTGTAATTTTAGCGAAAAAAATGGCTGCACTTCCAGCCAAAAAAGTTCCTTGATGACTGCGATAAATATACATCGAATAGAAATTGTGATTTTGATGCATGAAAGTTAGGTGGTGTCGACTTTGGTCCTTCGGATGGTTTTAAGTCCCTTGTCCCAATTCACTACTTCTTAGACTTCTGCTGGTATAAAAGATGCTTCCTTCAGAACCGACTTTACAACAGATTGAGGAAAGCAAAAATATGACTTCACTTCATTCTCTACAATTAATAGAAAAGTGACACCTGTCAAAAGCATACACTAAATAATGTTGGAATCTGTATAAATCAGCAGGTACAGCTGAATACCTTATACATTTAATTGAACCTGTGTAGTTTATAAATTCCACATGAAATTCATTGACTCGTCCAACAACCTGTTTGGTATCATTCTATAAAAATCTTTCAGCTTTTTTTTTAAGATGGTTCTTATTCATAAATTCTCTGCTTCAAAATAATGATATGTCTTAATTAAGTTGTAGCATTTTCAAATACAGCTGCTGTTTAATGGTGATCTGATCATGTAGTGGCCACCTGAAGGCCTAGCTAAGTTGATTTATAATGGATTTTGTTTTTTATTTTCAGAAAATTCTAATTCATCATGATGGAAAAGAAGGTTAAGCTGAGGACAGTGAACTCTTGTATCACATGTATACTGTGTAGAGGATATCTCATCGAGGCCACAACCACAACTGAATGTTTACATACGTGTAAGTACCACATGTATACTGTGTAGAGGATATCTCATCGAGGCCACAACCATAACTGAATGTTTACATACGTGTAAGTATCACAGGTATATCTCATTGAGGCCACAACCATAACTGAATGTTTACATACGTGTAAGCATCACATGTATACTGTGTAGAGGATATCTCATTGAGGCGACAGCCATAACTGGATGTTTACATAGGTGTAAGTATCACATGTATATCTCATTGAGGCCTCAACCATAACTTGATGTTTACATAGGTGTAAGTATCACATGTATACTATGTAGAGGATATCTCATTGAGGCCACAACCATAACGAAATGTTTACATACGTGTAAGTATCACATGTATACCTCATTGAGGCCACAACCATAACTTGATGTTTAAATAGGTGTAAGTATCACATGTATACTGTGTAGAGTATATCTCATTGAGGCCACAACCATAACTGGATGTTTACGTAGGTGTAAGTATCACATGTATACTGTGTAGAGTATATCTCATTGAGGCCACAACCATAACTGGATGTTTAAATAGGTGTAAGTATCACATGTATACTGTGTAGATGATATCTCATTGAGGCCACAACCATAACTGGATGTTTACGTAGGTGTAAGTATCACATGTATACTGTGTAGAGTATATCTCATTGAGGCCACAACCATAACTGGATGTTTAAATAGGTGTAAGTATTACATGTATACTGTGTAGAGGATATCTCATCGAGTCCACAACCATAACTGAATGTTTACATACGTGTAAGCATCACATGTATACTGTGTAGAGGATATCTCATTGAGGCCACAACCATAACTGAATGTTTACATAGGAGTAAGAATCACATGTATATCTCATTGAGGCCACAACCATAACCTGATGTTTAGATAGGTGTAAGTATCACATGTATACTGTGTAGAGTATATCTCATTGAGGCCACAACCATAACTGGATGTTTACGTAGGTGTAAGTATCACATGTATACTGTGTAGAGTATATCTCATTGAGGCCACAACCATAACTGGATGTTTAAATAGGTGTAAGTATCACATGTATACTGTGTAGGGGATATCTCATCGAGGCCACAACCATAACTGAATGTTTACATATGTGTAAGTATCACATGTATACTGTGTGGAGGATATCTTAGAGGCCACAACCATAACTGAATGTTTACATACGTGTAAGTATCCCATGTATATCTCATTGAGGCCACAACCATAACTTGACGTTTAGATAGGTGTAAGTATCACATGTATACTGTGTAGAGTATATCTCATTGAGGCCACAACCATAACTGGATGTTTAAATAGGTGTAAGTATTACATGTATACTGTGTAGAGGATATCTCATCGAGACCACAACCATAACTGAATGTTTACATACGTGTAAGCATCACATGTATACTGTGTAGAGGATATCTCATTGGGGCCACAACCATAACTAAATGTTTACATATGTGTAAGTATCACATGTATACTTTGTAGAGGATATCTCATCGAGGCCACAACCATAACTGAATGTTTACATATGTGTAAGTATCACATGTATCCTGTGTGGAGGATATCTTAGAGGCCACAACCATAACTGAATGTTTACATACGTGTAAGTACCACATGTATACTGTGTAGAGGATATCTCATCGAGGACACAACCATAACTGAATGTTTACATACGTGTAAGTATCTCATGTATATCTCATTGAGGCCACAACCATAACTTGATGTTTAAATAGGTGTAAGTATCACATGTATACTGTGTAGGGGATATCTCATCGAGGCCACAACCATAACTGAATGTTTACATACGTGTAAGTACCACATGTATACTGTGTAGAGGATATCTCATCGAGTCCACAACCATAACTGAATGTTTACATACGTGTAAGCATCACATGTATACTGTGTAGAGGATATCTCATTGAGGCGACAGCCATAACTGGATGTTTACATAGGTGTAAGTATCACATGTATACTATGTAGAGGATATCTCATTGAGGCCACAACCATAACGAAATGTTTACATACGTGTAAGTATCACATGTATATCTCTTTGAGGACACAACCATAACTTAATTTTTAGATAGGTGTAAGTATCACATGTATACTGTGTAGAGGATATCTCATTGAGGCCACAACCATAACTAAATGTTTACATATGTGTAAGTATCACATGTATACTGTGTGGAGGATATCTTAGAGGCCACAACCATAACTGAATGTTTACATACGTGTAAGTATCACATGTATACTGTGTAGAGGATATCTCATCGAGGCCACAACCATAACTGAATGGTTACACACACACGTTCGTTTAATGAGAAATATTCACTGTAACTGTGTTGTGTGAAATTTGTGGATTCATCTTTCTGGAAAAAATCAATAAATAATGCTGTCGTAAAATAAAATCCTGTATAAGTATTTCCAGGTTAGTTTGTAATATTATGTTGCACAGTCCATGTCAACACCACTAATACTGTTACCAATTACCACTATAGGATGTCTTATTCCAGTTGCCTTTTTTTTCTAGTCTGTAAGAGCTGCCTTGTACGGTACTTAGAGGACCACAATTCCTGTCCAAAATGCCAAACACTCATTCACCAAAGCCACCCCATGAACTATATCAGGTAAGTGTGATCAGTGAAATGTGTGGTGGTCGAGCTCTAAGAGAGGTGGGGGTATTATCACTTCAAACATCTCCTCCAACCAACCGTCACCCTTCTTTGTTTGGCAGTCTGGGTCAGTAATATATAAGTTGACAGTACAAATGTTAGAAGTTTCTGAGATATATTTGACAGGTGTAGTATACATCACAGTATCCTAAAAGGTTCTAGGATACAAAGTGTTAACAAATAACTGCTGTACACTATTTTTACCTTACCATTTGATCATAAAAAGCTTCTGATTTTGTATGTGATATATGCTGAATCCGACCTTGATGTCAGAAATTCATGCAATGAAACTGCTATGATTAATCCACTTTTCTCTTCCTTGTGATAGCCATGACCGGACTATGCAGGACATAGTATACAAATTGGTGCCAAATCTTCAACAAAGTAAGTCAAGTCAGAGATGATAGAATCTTGTTTAAATCAGTCAAGGTTGCAGGCTTATTTGGTTATTCATAAATATTCAATAAAACTTCACTTTTACTTGTTTGTAAAGCAGTATCCCTGCTATCTTCCACCGCTATAATACAAGAGACAACTGAAGGAGGTTCCTTTTCATAGACCTTTTTATCTACATCCTCTGTTTTAGTAAGATGGAAAAGGCTGAATGTTATCACTTAGTCCTAGTGGCAATAATTGGGATACTGGTATTTATCTTTTCCTATTACTTCCCCATCACTGTTCCTTCCATGGTTACAACCTGGACACTAGTTGTCACATAACATTTGTGTGGTGTCCACATAGACATCTGTTGTCTTATAATCTTTTCATGGTGACAACCTGGACATTAGTTGTCACGTAACATTTGTGTGGTGTCCACATACACATCTGTTGTCTTATAATCTTTCCATGGTGACAACCTGGACACTAGTTGTCACGTAACATTTGTGTGGTGTCCACATAGATATCTGTTGTCTTATAATCTTTCCACGGTGACAACCTGGACACTAGTTGTCACGTAACATTTGTGTGGTGTCCACATACACATCTGTTGTCTTATAATCTTTCCATGGTGACAACCTGGATACTAGTTGTCACGTAACATTTGTGTGGTGTCCACATAGATATCTGTTGTCTTATAATCTTTCCATGGTGACAACCTGGACACTAGTTGTCACGTAACATTTGTGTGGTGTCCACATAGACATTTGTTGTCTTATAATCTTTCCATGGTCTTTGTCTCCACACCATTGTCATTTAACTTTAATGCATTGTGACCATATAAAGTGACCTGCTAAAGTTCCTTCCAAGCAAGATAGTTTTAGGTAAAACTAATTAAGAATATGGACAAAAAACAAGTCCTTTTGTTGTTCTCAGAGGAATTAAGACGCCAGCAAGAATTCTTCAGGAAGCATGCCTCGCAGGGAATTAAACCAGGTAAATTGAATCATACTATCATTTTCATTGATATTAAATATTTCTCATTTTAAATAAACAAAAGTATCTTTGTAACTACATTCTTATAAGTGCAAAACTAATCTATACAAGAATCATTTGTTGATGGATTTTAAAAGAAGAAGGAAAAAGATAAAAGAAAAATACAGCGATAACTTTGAATGTATTTTGACCTCTGAGAGATATAAAATCTGATATCATATGTAAGTTGTTTGTTAAGTTCATGTTTTTGACTACATCCAGAATTAGAAGATGTGAATGATAACCACACAGAGAATGTTGTGTCAGTGAAGGAAGAGAACAAAGACTTCCATCGTCATGACGAGCAGCTGAATGTGTGCTTAGAGTGTCAAGGAACTATGAAAAACTTAAAAAGGAAATTCTTACGAATCTCGTCACAAGCCACTGTCAGTCACCTAAAGAAGTTTGTGGCTCTAAAGCTGTACAGTGATCAAACGAAATATACCAATGTAAGTCTGACTCACTCAACTCAGATACCTGCCTCTGATACCAATGTAAGTCTGACTCACTCAATTCAGATACCACCCTCTGATACCAATGTAAGTCTGACTCGCTCAACTCGGATAACAATGTAAGTGACTTACTCAACTCAAATATCACCCTCTAAAGCTGTACAGTGATCGAACAAAATATACCAATGTAAGTCTGACTCGCTCAACTCAGATACAAATGTAAATCTGACTTACTCAACTCAGATACCACCCTCTCAAGCTGTACAGTGATCAAACGAAATATACCAATGTAAGTCTGACTCACTCAACTCAGATCCCATCCTCTGATACCAATGTAAGTCTGACTCGCTCAACTCAGATACCAATGTAAGTCTGACTTACTCAACTCAGATACCACCCTCTAAAGCTGTACAGTGATCAAACAAAATATACCAATGTAAGTCTGACTCGCTCAACTCAGATACCAATGTAAGTCTGACTCACTCAACTCAGATACCATCCTCTGATACCAATGTAAATCTGACTTACTCAACTCAGATACCACCCTCTAAAGCTGTACAGTGATCAAACGAAATATACCAATGTAAGTCTGACTCGCTCAACTCAGATACCACCCTCTGATACCAATGTAAGTCTGACTTACTCAACTCAGATACCACCCTCTACCCTCTGATACCAATGTAAGTCTGACTCACTCAACTCAGATATCAACTTCTGATACCAATGTAAGTCTGGCTCACTCAACTCAGATATCAACCTCTGATACCAATGTAAGTCTGACTCACTCAACTCAGATTTCAACCTCTGATACCAATGTAAGTCTCACTCTCTCCTCTCCGATACCACCCTCCACTCCAATACCATTACTTTCTCAAATACCACTACCTGCTCAAATACTAAATTCTTCTCCATAATCAAACACCATCCTCTACTCAAATATCACCCTCTACTCAAATACCACTCTATACTTAAATTCTACTCATACTCAATCATCACCCTATGATCAAGTATCGCCCTCTATTCAAATATCACTCTACTCAGATACTACCCTCCACTCAAATACCACTTACTGAAATACCACTCTTTACTATGATCCATGCTCTATTGAAATACCACCTGCTCATATATCACCAACTACTCAAATACCACTTTAGCCCAAATCCACTCCCCCATTCAAATACCACCCTCAACTCAATTAATACTCTCTACTCACATATCACAATGTACTCTACTCAAATAACTACTTGTAGTGAGCCACTATTGATATCTTCAAGTGTTATTCCTAAATATGTGCCCACATATGAAGTTCGACGACTGTTTGATTCTAGTATCAGAGCAATAGTGCTAAATGCATCGTCTAACCAAAGTCAGTGAAGGGAGAAAACAATAAGATAATTACCTAAATTTAAAATATTTGTATTTATTGTAATAAGAATATATCATGTTTATTTATCCATGGTGACCAAATTTATCAAACATTTCTTTGTTTGTCAATTAAGTTGTTAAAATGACTGCAGGACATTTAAATGTTCTCGTTTGTACAGGTATTTTTTTTTCACTTTGATTTATTACCTAGTTGTTATTTTGCGAGGAAATTAACTTTGAAAGTTTGATTCATGAATAGAATATTAGTAGTGTTATATAAGGGGGGAAATCTGAACTTTTCCGTAAGTGTGAAACATCGTGAAACTGGAATCTTGTAAGTTCAAATGAACTTTAATTGTAGATATATTGGTATAGTATACCCCAAGGACCTTGAAAGTGTATTCACATATGAAGTTTGACAATTGCATTTTTCTGGCTGGTATCAGTGAAATAGAGCTGAATACAAAGTTAAACTACCATCAATATTTGTGTATAGTGCATGCTTTCTTAGCGAAAAATGATTAGATCAAGAAAGGGGTGCGCACTATACATGGGAACACTCTAAAACCAGTCCTAAGTTGTGACCATTAATCGTTATTTTTGATATACATGTACTGTACAGATGGACAACCTTTGTGTTATATGTTGTGGGGGCATAACAATGTTTTTAAGTACATCAGTTGGAATGTTGAAATTATAATCTTGACATACCAATCTATCTGTACTCAGCTCTAGACAGAAGCAGAAATGTTCGTCACATGTTGGGTTATCTGAAGATTATAAAATTCATTGTATTATCAATATCAATAAAATAAAAGAGAACATATATAATTTGGGAACTATAAAAAAAAAAAACATTGTTTTTTATATTTTCTACCTGTGTGTTCAAATTTTCATTTTTTTAAGGTTTAAAAAAGCTAAAAAAAAAGTATTTTTCTTTCAGATTGAAATTTTGTGCAATGATGAACTACTAGGCAAACATCATACTCTAAAGTTTGTGGCAGTCACAAGATGGAGGGTCAAGGTAGGTCACTGTACTCAGTCACAAGGTGGAGGGTCAAGGTAGGTCACTGTCCTCAGTCACAAGATGGAGGGTCAAGGTAGGTCACTGTACTCAGTCACAAGGTGGAGGGTCAAGGTAGGTCACTGTACTCAGTCACAAGGGGGAGGGGCAAGGTAGGTCACTGTACTCAGTCACAAGATGGAGGGTCAAGGTAGGTCACTGTACTCAGTCACAAGATGGAGGGTCAAGGTAAGTCACTGTACTCTCACATCAGATGGAGGGGCAAGGTAGGTCACTGGACTCTCACATCAGATGGAGGGTCAAGGTAAGTCACTGTACTCAGTCCCAAGGTGGAGGGTCAAGGTAAGTCACTGTACTCTCACATCAGATGGAGGGTCAAGGTAGGTCACTGGACTCTCACATCAGATGGAGAGTCGAGGTAAGTCACTGTACTCTCACATCAGATGGAGAGTCAAGGAAGTCACTGTACTCTCACATCAGATGGAGCGTCAAGATAGGTCACTGGACTCTCACATTAGATGGAGAGTCAAGGTAAGTCACTGTACTCTCTCATCAGATGGAGGGTCGAGGTAGGTCACTGTACTCAGTCACAAGATGGAGAGTCAAGGTAAGTCACTGTTCTCTCACATCAGATGGAGGGTCGAGGTAGGTCACTGTACTCAGTCACAAGATGGAGGGTCAAGGTAAGTCACTGTACTCAGTCCCAAGGTGGAGGGTCAAGGTAAGTCACTGTACTCAGTCACAAGGTGGAGAGTCAAGGTAAGTCACTGTACTCTCACATCAGATTGAGGGTCAAGGTAAGTCACTGTACTCTCACATCAGATGGAGAGGCGAGGTAAGTCACTGTACTCTCACATCAGATGGCGAGTCAAGGAAGTCACTGTACTCTCACATCAGATGGGGCGTCAAGATAGGTCACTGGACTCTCACATTAGATGGAGAGTCAAAGTAAGTCACTGTACTCTCACATCAGATGGAGGGTCGAGGTAGGTCACTGTACTCAGTCACAAGATGGAGAGTCAAGGTAAGTCACTGTACTCTCACACCAGATGGAGAGTCAAGGTAAGTCACTGTACTCTCTCATCAGATGGAGGGTCGAGGTAGGTCACTGTACTCAGTCACAAGATGGAGAGTCAAGGTAAGTCACTGTTCTCTCACATCAGATGGAGGGTCAAGGTAGGTCACTGGACTCTCACATCAGATTGAGAGTCGAGGTAAGTCACTGTACTCTCACATCAGATGGAGAGTCCAGGAAGTCACTGTACTCTCACATCAGATGGAGCGTCAAGATAGGTCACTGGACTCTCACATTAGATGGAGAGTCAAAGTAAGTCACTGTACTCTCACATCAGATGGAGGGTCGAGGTAGGTCACTGTACTCAGTCACAAGATGGAGAGTCAAGGTAAGTCACTGTACTCTCACACCAGATGGAGAGTCAAGGTAAGTCACTGTACTCTCACACCAGATGGAGAGTCAAGGTAAGTCACTGTACTCTCACATCAGATTGAGGGTCAAGGTAAGTCACTGTACTCTCACATCAGATGGAGAGTCAAGGTAAGTCACTGTACTCTCACATCAGATAGTTCATCAACACAATATATGATATTGTGTAGCTGTGTTGTTGTACATGGTAAACTCTTATACACAAGTCAAAATATTTGACGAAACATATCTCTGTCCATCCACACTTTTCTGCAAGATAACTTGCTTATACCCGGTATATCATTTGATTTTGTGGAAACTTGATAAGCATGTACAATGTCATAGTCTGAAGCTAAATTGGAAGTTTAAACAAAATCTGTACATGATTCGTTAGCATAATGCAGTCCTATTGGTAAGTGGTCCCTGCACAATACCTTGTTGTACAGTGTTATTTGTTGATATGTAGGTATGTTGTTGTACACATAGTAGCTGTAACACCAAGGGCTGCTGGTGCTCATCATTTCCATTTTTACATCGTAGCTATGTTTGATGTAAAATTTTGTTATTTTACAGGATGGTCCATTACTGCTTCACTATCGACAGAAAACATTGGACTTTTAATAAAAAAAAAGTGCTAATTTCCCATAATCCTGTCTTGTGCAGATGTCATAAGTACGCTGTTCTTCCCGCAGAAATTAAACATCGGATGTCTGAAGTGTGCAGCTCTTTCTGCAGAAAGTTAATATCAGATGTCTGGATTGCTCCATTGTCTCTGTGAAAAGTTAAACATCATATCTCTCAAAGCTCTGTTCTTCTGAAGGGTACAGTTCTCTACATTGGATGTTTAAAGAGTGGTGTTCTCTCTGCAGAAAGTAAACATTGGATGTCTGCAATAACATTATTCTCTCTGTGGAATCACTGATCTGTCATAACCATTGAGCACCACAACAATGAACCACACTCTGACATATACCTGCTGTACCATATCAAAACAGTTGCATTGTTGGTTGGTATTATGGCCGACTCTCCTGCAAATTTTACCCTCTAAATTGAGTGGGACCAGTTCTATTTGATGCACATCTGTATTTTAATCTACTAATCGTGTCTATGATAGAATCAAAGGATGGACCAATATATAACCGCTATGGGAAGGGCCTGTGTTTTGCAGGTCTACATATAATGTGTATAGACCAGCACTAGTCTATCTATGATACTGAAGCTCTTCAAACTGTTAGTACTAAATGTATATAGACTAGCACTAGTCTATCTATGATACTGAAGCTCTTCAAATTGTTAGTACTAAATGACTGTTACAGAATCCTCCTTCAGCCGATGGTCAATTGGTGACCAGCTGTAGACGTGAACATTTATTAAATAAACTGCAAGAGTCACGATGCTGAAACTAGAAATTTGTTATTTTATTCATGAGAATGATGAATATTTCTTTAATTCTGGTCACCAAGCTGTAATTTGAGTTTAGAAGTCATTCTGGTGTTAACTTTAAAGAAAGTCTTAAGACATTAAAGTTTGTTTCCTCTATATAATACTACAGGTATTATTTACAATGCTTCCCGACTTTAATGGTGCATACTATTTGCTGGACAACAAGGAATATCTTCTATCTGTTTATTTTGTTATAGATTTTACAAAAAAGGATTGATACCAGGATTATATCATGTGTCACTAGCTTGCTGACATGTGTAGTTAAAATTCATAACATTTTCCTATTTATAGAAAAAAAAAGATAAATATGACTGTCTGTCATTTGATATACATGTACTGGTAAATGATCCCAACAAGTAATAAACTATTTTCTTACATATTATTGAGTTTGATACAGTCTATTCCAGTTGAATAACTACACAAATTATGAACTTAGCATGCAGATTACATGTTAACATCACAGTAATAATCAATGCTGTAAATTATGGTTGATTTAAAAACTGAGTATTTGAAATTTGACAGTTGTTGGTTTGCATTTCATTACATAAATAGAACTAGAAATACTATATCTCATTTACCTATAATATGATGTTGAGTTAAAGTTCCAGAGTTTATGGTATATATATCAACTGATTTTAGTGATTTCTTTCACGGAACGTATTGGAGACAGTTTAGATTGGCGAGAGTTGACATGTAGGTAATATCTACAAGTACCCTTTGTGTGTATCTCTGGAGACAGGTAACTTGTGTGTATGTTTTTAAATCTGGATACGTACGTGTACTTGTATTGTTTGTGTGTGTCTGAATACATTGTTTATGTGTGACTGTGTATCTGGGTACATTGTTTATGTGTGACTATGTATCAGGGTACATCGTTTATGTGTGACTGTGTATCAGGGTACATCGTTTATGTGTGACTGTGTATCAGGGTACATCGTTTATGTGTGACTGTGTATCAGGGTACATCGTTTATGTGTGACTGTGTATCAGGGTACATCGTTTATGTGTGACTGTGTCTCTGGGTACATTGTTTATGTGTGACTATGTATCAGGGTACATCGTTTATGTGTGACTGTGTATCAGGGTACATCGTTTATGTGTGACTGTGTATCAGGGTACATCGTTTATGTGTGACTGTGTATCAGGGTACATCGTTTATGTGTGACTGTGTCTCTGGGTACATTGTTTATGTGTGACTATGTATCAGGGTACATCGTTTATGTGTGACTGTGTATCAGGGTACATCGTTTATGTGTGACTGTGTATCAGGGTACATCGTTTATGTGTGACTGTGTCTCTGGGTACATTGTTTATGTGTGACTATGTATCAGGGTACATCGTTTATGTGTGACTGTGTATCAGGGTACATCGTTTATGTGTGACTGTGTATCAGGGTACATCGTTTATGTGTGACTGTGTATCAGGGTACATCGTTTATGTGTGACTGTGTCTCTGGGTACATTGTTTATGTGTGACTATGTATCAGGGTACATCGTTTATGTGTGACTGTGTATCAGGGTACATCGTTTATGTGTGACTGTGTATCAGGGTACATCGTTTATGTGTGACTGTGTATCAGGGTACATCGTTTATGTGTGACTGTGTCTCTGGGTACATTGTTTATGTGTGACTGTCTGGGTACATTGTTTATATGTGACTATGTCTCTAGGAACATTGTTTATGTGTGTCTATGTCTCTGGGTACATTGTTTATGTGTGACTGTGTCTCTGGGTACATTGTTTATATGAGACTGTCTGGGTACATTGCTTATGTGTGACTGTCTGGGTACATTGTTTATGTGTGACTGTGTCTCTGGGTACATTGTTCATGTGTGACTGTCTGGGAACATTGTTTATGTGTGACTATGTCCTTGGGAACATTGTTTATGTGTGACTATGTCTCTGGGGACATTGTTTATGTGTGTCTATGTGTCTGGGTACATTGTTTATGTGTGACTGTGTCTCTGGGTACATTGTTTATGTGTGACTGTCTGGATACATTGTTTATGTGTGACTATGTATCTGGGTACATTGTTTATGTGTGACTGTCTCTGAATACATTGTTTATGTGTGACTGTGTCTCTGGGTACATTGTTTATATGTGACTGTCTGGGTACATTGTTTATGTGTGACTGTCTGGGTACATTGTTTATGTGTGACTGTATCTGGGTACATTGTTTATGTGTGACTATGTCTCTGGGTACATTATTTATATGTGACTCTGTCTCTGGGTACATTGTTCATGTGTGACTATGTCTCTGGGTACATTGTGTATGTGTGTCTATGTGTCTGGGTACACTGTTTATGTGTGACTGTCTCTGGGTACATTGTTTGTGTGTGACTATGTCCTTGGGAACCTTGTTTATGTGTGACTATGTATCTGGGTACATTGTTGATGTGTGACTATGTATCAGGGTACATCGTTTATGTGTGACTGTGTATCTGGGTACATTGTTCATGGGTGACTGTGTCTCTGGGTACATTGTTTGTGTGTGACTATGTCCTTGGGCACATTGTTTATGTGTGACTACGTCTCTGGGTACATTGTTTATATGTGACTATGTCTCTGGGAACATTGTTTGTGTGTGACTATGTCCTTGGGAACATTGTTTATGTGTGACTATGTCCTTGGGAACATTGTTTATGTGTGACCATGTCTCTGGGTACATTGTTTATGTGTGTCTATGTGTCTGGGTACATTGTTTATATGTGACTGTGTCTCTGGGTACATTGTTTATGTGTGACTGTATCTGGGTACATTGTTTATGTGTGACTGTCTCTGGGTACATTGTTTATGTGTGACTATGTATCTGGGTACATTGTTTATGTGTGACTATGTCTCTGGGTACATTATTTATATGTGACTGTGTCTCTGGGTACATTGTTCATGTGTGACTATGTCTCTGGGTACAATATTTATATGTGACTGTGTCTCTGGGTACATTGTTTATGTGTGACATCGTTTATGTGTGACTGTGTATCAGGGTACATCGTTTATGTGTGACTGTGTCTCTGGGTAAATTGTTCATGTGTGACTATGTATCTGGGGACATTGTTCATGTGTGACTGTCTGGGTACATTGTTTCTGTGTGCCTGTGTCTCTGGGTACATTGTTCATGTGTTACTGTCTGGGTTCATTGTTTATGTGTGACTGTGTCTCTGCGTACATTGTTTATGTGTGACTATGTCTCTGGGTACAATATTTATATGTGACTGTGTCTCTGGGTACATTGTTTATGTGTGAATGTCTGGGTACATTGTTTATGTGTGACTATGGATCTGGGTACATTGTTTATGTGTGACTATATCTCTGGGTACATTATTTATATGTGACTGTGTCTCTGGGTACATTGTTCTCTCTGGAGACAGGTAACTTGTGTGTATGTTTTTAAATCTGGATACGTACGTGTACTTGTATTGTTTGTGTGTGTCTGAATACATTGTTTATGTGTGACTGTGTATCTGGGTACATTGTTTATGTGTGACCGTGTCTCTGGGTACATTGTTCATGTGTTACTGTCTGGGTTCATTGTTTATGTGTGACTGTGTCTCTGGGTAAATTGTTCATGTGTGACTATGTATCTGGGGACATTGTTCATGTGTGACTGTCTGGGTTCATTGTTTATGTGTGACTGTCTGGGTACATTGTTTCTGTGTGCCTGTGTCTCTGGGTACATTGTTCATGTGTGACTGTGTCTCTGGGTACATTATGTGTGACTGTGTATCAGGGTACATCGTTTATGTGTGACTGTGTCTCTGGGTAAATTGTTCATGTGTGACTATGTATCTGGGGACATTGTTCATGTGTGACTGTCTGGGTACATTGTCCATGTGTGACTATGTCTCTGGGTACATCTCTGGGAACATTGTTTATGTGTGACTATGTCTCTGGGTACAATATTTATATGTGACTGTGTCTCTGGGTACATTGTTCATGAGTGACTGTCTGGGGTCATTGTTTATGTGTGACTGTGTCTCTGCGTACATTGTTCATGTGTGACTATGTATCATTGTTTATGTGTGACTGTGTCTCTGGGTACATTGTTTATGTGTGTCTATGTGTCTGGGTACATTGTTTATATGAGACTGTGTCTCTGGGTACATTGTTTATGTGTGTCTATGTCTCTGGGTACATTGTTTATGTGTGACTGTCTGGGTACATTGTTCATGTGTGACTGTCTGGGTACATTGTTTATGTGTGACTGTCTCTGGGTACATTATTTATATGTGATTGTGACTTTTGGTACATTGTTCATGTGTGACTAGTCTAGGTACATTGTTAATGTGTGACTTGTATGGTTATATAACAGCCGAAAGGGAACCACGGAACATTTCTCCAAGTAGTTTTAAGAAACAAAATAATTATGATGAACTACCATTCTTGTTTAATTGATGCAGAGTATTATTAACATTTCATTGGACACTTCAGTGTTGAAGCAGCTCTATAGAAGCAGCTCTATATAGTTAAACGTGAAGCCATTGGTGAAGTTTCCCTAGTAGTTACAAAATAAATAAAAGAGAAAGAAATGATCTACTGGGAAATATTGCAACCATATATTATACCAATGGTTTCATTTCTTTTACATGTGAGTTGAGGACTGTGTTTATGTCTCATCCTCAATGTCGTCAATTTTCAAATAGAAATTGATGAGAAGTACAAAAATTATGTAATGAAATAAGTGCATCTATTATTAAAAAAATTAACTCATGACATGATACAAACTTATGAGCTTATGTACTGATAAAGGTTAGCAACAATTCAATCTTATCCAGGCTCTTTTGATTCATTTGTATATGTGCATGAACACAAGTTAAAGTGATTATCATATAGTTGTCAATGATATAGGTTGTTTTGCATTTGTGATACTACCAGCTGTGCATAGGCCATATCCTGGATCGATCAATACCTTCCTGGCACCCACCATATCTGACCAGCATGCACCATATCCATTTTACTTCTGGTAAAACACATTTCAGAAAAGTCACGTCTCAATTACCCTGATTTCTGTTTTACCAATAATAAAATAGTTCCAGTGTGTAGTATATGATAAAATGGTTATGGTATGACCATTTCCATATCCTACTGTACCCCATATCAACCCTCGACCCTTATCAGCCCTTTGGCAGATAGGGAGGTTGAGGGTAGATATGGGTTAGGATATGGAAATGGTCATCCCATAACCATTTTACCATATTCTACCCCATAACAACCCTCGACCCTTGTCAGCCCTTTGGCAGATATGGGGGTTGGGGGTAGTTATGGGGTAGGATATGGAAAGGGTCGTGTGATACCTCAAGACATCAGTTCCTGCCAATATGTAACCTCTCCCACTGGTTCTCTAAAGAATAACACTGATTTCAGTCTCAAGGTCATTTTTTTCAATTCATGAATCCGCATTATCTTTTCATTAAGTACACTGCAGAAGGACAGCTTCCTGTTAGATATTACTTGTTTTATTGTTTATTCTGTTCAACATCGTATCTATATCTACTGTCAATCAGCAGAACGTGTTCGTAGGATTAAAGTTCAATAAAATTATTTTTCTTACATAAAAAGTAAGCATTCCTTTATTGACTGTACAAAGCTAAAATTGAAATCGGGTCAAGACGACCTGCCGATTATTTTATAACACTCTTTGTCACAGTTGGAATGACTATATTAATTACTGTGTTCTAAATTACGTTTACAAGTCATTTATTTGTGTGTTAAGTTTCCTACAACTCGTTTGTTAAGGTTAATTGCTCATCAGTAAATATTTAATCAAGGATGTATCGCTCAGCATCATTTTATTGTGGGACATCAAAAGGTTCCTGTTGATGTCCTATTTCATAAAATTGCCGTTAGTGCTCATTGAGTGCCTGTAGAGAAAATCCATGAACTCATATTAAGGCATCATTGGGAACAAAATGAAATCACTATAAAGAAGAGAAAATATCTCAAAGAATTTGTCATCTTTTGTTAATACAATGTATAAGATATCTTACTTGCAGTCACCATGGCATTCCTTTTTCAATTTCGTTTTTATTTGAAAATCAAGAAAGAAATGTTGAGTGTCGAATTGTTCCATCAGATAACAAACTTTTTTTTATAACAATTATGGAACAATTTATTTAAACTTATGTTGATCACTGTTTTTGCCCCGGCCTTGGTGAAAGGCGAGTGTGTTACCCACAGCACCAGCCGACCACCTGTGTTCCATCAGATCTAGATGGAATAGTATAACAATATTGATGTTACTTATAGCATCTGATGAACAGCAGGACCCACAATGGTCTGATATTGTCATCAACTTAAAACAAGGTGGAGCATTGTACAAACTTACATTACGTTACTTTGCGAGTTAAGTAAATTATAGATGCAATATATTAATGTTATCTCAGAAATTATTTATTTTGAATAAAATTTCAACAATGTATAAGTATATACCTGTTGTTGTTCATTTTGAGAATTCATATCATTGTTGCAAATACCGGTAGTTATTGAAATTCGTTCACAAAAAATAGGTGTTAACAAAATAGTGATTTACATAAACTGTTTCCTTCTATAGATTAGGTTCTTTTATACATAGCTTCTTTATGTAATTGATAAAAGATCAGAATTCTTTATAGGAAGGTTGATGGATAAACAAATTCTTTTTATACAGGTTTATTATTGTAGATTCTTTATATCTCTGAAATACTTTCTGATGTGAAGGTCTGTGTTTAAATGTACTGTACATCCTTGATATTTTTGGCAAAGTGGTACTGTTGAGTCCTACACCTTAATGATCTCAATCAGATTTAACGGATTTTCCTATGATGCTTGTTTTTGTGGATGTAGTTTCTCCATATTTAACATTAATTTTTAGGTCACCTGAGACAAAGTCTCAAGTGACCTATTGCGATCGCCTTTTGTCCGTCGTCGTCCGTCGTCCGTCGTGCGTCCGTAAACAATTTACATTTTCGACTTCTTCTCCAAAACCCCTGAACCAATTTCAATGAAATTTTGCAGGGACCTTCCATGGACAAAGGTCAACAAAAAT